TGTGTACGGGTCCAACCCCGGCTGCTGAGTAAAGGTAGCCAGGTGGCGACCCGTCCGAGCACACGTACAGTGGGTCACACGCTCATAGGCAGGGGTGAACTGGTGAACACCCCCGTCCTGGAGAGCAGAGCCCGCCACCAAGTTCGTAGAGAACGAGGGGAGGTAAAGACCCGACAGGGTGCCGGCCGGAACCACCGGACAAGGAAGGACAGTGGAGGAGGTTGCAAGGACTGGACCCCCATAGGGGTCAGCGAGAGTGACAGCAACCGGTCGAGCTAGCTGCTCAAGGACAGTGCGGTCACGAAAGAAGCAGCGGGAAGCACCCGAGTCCAGTGTGAAGGTGTGCAGTGCCTCAGTAGACGCAGTACCAGCAGGCGCAGACTCACAAGCACCTGGAGCAGCAGACTCACTGGCACCTAGAGCAGCAGCCTCACCAGAACGTAGGGCAGCAGACGCACTAGCACCTAGAGCGACAGTCTCACTGGTCCCTATACCCGGGTCGGACGGTACACTTAGGTAGCAGTCACCCTCAACACTAATAGTCAATGCATACATAGCACCAAGAATAGCATCATAATCAAGAGCAAAGATATCAATTCCCTTCTTAAGCAGATCAGCCCAGCGGGGCAACTCAGCGGCATCAGGAAACTGCTCGCGCCAGGCGTCGTCGAGTCGAAAGAAGCAGCGCTGCGCTGTGTGGAACCTCCCACAGGTCTGGCCAGTGCGGTCACCTGTGCGGATGACATACGGGCAGGTACCTCCACCCCCAGACCCCCCACGCTGAGAGTACCACTCACGGAGCTACTGAGGTGAAGGAGTCTCGCCGGGACGCTGCTGCTGCTGCCTCTGGCCACCGGCGAACCCCCCACGCTGCACTGCTCCGCCGCGCCCGCCACCTGCTCCACCGCCGCCACCACTGCCACCACCACCCCCGCCACCTCCGCCGCCTCCACCCCCTGCCCCACCACTGACCCCCCCACCACCAGCGCCACTCCCACCACCGCCACCACCCCCGCCCCCTCCACCCCCTCCACTGCCGCCGCCCCCGCCGCCACCTCCGCCACCCCTGCCCCCCTTGCCCCTGCCGCCCTTGCGCCTCCCACTGGGAGCAGACGCAGCCCCGACCCCCTCAGCACCGAGGTAGTTGACAGCAGCAGCAGATGCAATGGAGGGGAGGAGGGGGGAGGGGGAGCACCCCTAAAAGAAGGGAGTGCGAGGGTCGCCACGAGAGGCACCTACAGCTACATTGCTCTTCTCAGCTGCGAGGAGTTCCTTCTCGAGCAAGTCAACATTGAGGTCGGTAGGGGAGAGGGCGAGCAAGTGGTCCCTGACAGTGTGAAGGGATTCAGGGAGGCAGGTGACTAGGTGATAGAGTGTGAGGTACATCGGGGGAGGGTTCTTGGCTAGGAAATCGGGGGGAAGCGCGGCACGGTAGCGAAGATCACTAGTACGAAGGTGCGTGATCAGGTCAGCTACAGTGGCAAATGCAGACAGATCGGGGAAGAGATATAGGGCAGTGAGAGACGGCCTATCGCAGCAGTGGCAGGGGAGGAGTAGCGTGCAACTACAGCGTCGTACAACTCCTTAGCGGTCTTATGCTGGCCAAAGGGCTCGCGCTCATCTAGCGGTAGGTGGCTGCAAACGGCTAGGCGAGCATGAGCGTCACGTGTCTGCCATTGTGATCGAGCAGTGCTGTCAGCAGTAGCAGCAGGTGCGGGAGTGGCGCCCGACGTGTGGTAAAAAAGGGAAACATCGTCCTTGGCAGTGAACAGGAGGAACAGGTGCAGGTCATTGAGCCAAACGTCAAACTTAATCGGACGGCCCTCAGAGTCAAACGTGAGAACGGTAGGACTAGCCATAGTGGCAGTAGCAGTAGCAGCAATAGCAGTAGTAGTAGTAGCAGCAGTAGCAGTAGCAGAAGTAACAGAAGCAGTAGTAGTGGCAGTAGGAGCAGTAAGAGCAGTTGCTGCAGGTAGGGCGGCGCGGCTCGGTCAGGACGGCGCGACTCGGGCGGCGCGGCTCGGGCGGCGCGCCTCGGTTAGGTATGGCGGCGCGACGGCGGGCCTATGCTCGGTGCGCGGCGGCGCCTAGGGTGCGGCTGCGCGAGGGCCGCGGCTGCGTCCGTGCGGCGGCTAAGCGCTAGCTGCAGCAGCCGACGCGCGATCGCCGCTGCGCGCTGGCTGCGACCTGCGGGCGGGCAGCTGTGGGTCGCGCGTCGGCCTAGGGGCGAGCGGGGCCTATGGGCGATGGCCTGCTGGGGCTCGCGAGAAAAAATCGGGCCGCCCTAGGCGGCTTATTTCCTACGCGTGCTAAAACGGCGGGGCCGCGCTCGGGTTGCAAACGAGCAGCGTGAGAGGAGAGCGCACGAGGGCACACTAGGAGAGAGGCGCACGAGGGTGCTAAAAAAAAGGGGCGCACGAGGGCACCTCTAGCGGAACGGTGGGCCTTAGGTCTAGAACCTAAGCTCTTAATACCATGTCAGAAACAAGAAGTGATTGAACTATGAACATTGGTGGTAAAAGTATGAAACCCTAAAGTATTGTAACCCCTAAAGGCTAACCCACTGTAGCCTACACAGCAATAACATATATAATGTTCGACACGTGACATTGGTCGGAATGAAGTGTCCCATTTTAGATAACTTGTCGATCACCACGAGTATAGCGTAATGTCCTCGTAAGGTCAAAAGAATCCTGGTGATTAAATCTAGGCTGACGTCTTGCCACGGTTGTTTGGTACGGGTAGAGGCTGAAGTAACCCTGCGTTTTTCTGCTTGCTACACTTCATCCGTTGGCACGTGTCGCATGAGGTGACGAGCTGCTGCACGTCTGCTGCCATCCAAGGCCAGTAATATTACTTCGCTATTCCAGCTACCATCTTGTTACTCCCAAAATGTCCTGCGTATGCCACATCGTGAAACTCCTCTAGTAAGAGTTGTCGGAGTGGGGCATAGTTCGGTACCCAAGTATTTCCTGAACCCTTTCTTACAACTAAGCCTTTCTCCCATTGTAACAGCTTCTATTTCTGTGCTGTAGCGATCTCTGTGTCCATAGAGTCCCCATGTTGGAATAGACCCTTGAGCAGAGGGTTCATCTCGTCAAGCTGGATGCCCATTTACGTGCCCTGGGCGGCTCAACGCGCTGGCCTTGTTGTGTAACCCTGGCTTGTAGACGATGTCGTAGTGGAAGTGAGTTTCGAGGAAGTCCATCCACCCCTCCTGTCGTCGTGAGAGCGTAGGCTGCGACTTAAGGTATTTGAGACTGCAGTGGTCAGTATAGATTGTAATGTTGGCTCCCTCTAGGTAACAACTCCACGCCTTGAAGGCTGTGACTATCGCTAAGGCTTCCTTGCCATGGATTGGGTAGGTAAGTTCTGCTCCATGTAGCTTCTTACTGAGGTACGCAATGAGCCGCAAACTGCGTCTATGATCATGCATCCGTACTAATCCGACTGTTTTTACTAGCATCTACTTCCACCACGTATTTTCTGTCTGGATCTGGTAGGATGAGTACTGGGGGAGTAGTCATTGCTCTCTATAGCTGCTCCATGGCTTGCTGTTTAGAAGTATCCCATTTATAGAGCGTATCCTTCTTCAATAAGTTCGTAAGTAACGCTGCGATCTGAACGTACTGTGGTACGAACTTGCTGTAGTAGCTAGCGAAGCCTTGGAACTGCTGCAACTCCTTCACGTTCTCAGGAACTAAACAATTCTTGACAGCTTCGATCTTCTGCGGGTCCATGTGTATGCCCTCGACACTCATCATGTGCCCAAGAAACTGCACCTTCTTCAGGGCGAAGTCGCTCTTTGACAGCTTCACGTAGAACTTGTTCTCCTGCAGGATCTCGAAGACTTTCCGCAGATGCTCCACGTGCTCCTTCATGTTCTTGGATTAGATGAGAATGCCGTCCACGTACACTACTACTTGTTCGTTCTGCAGAGGCTGCAAGATGTGATTCATCTGCGCCTGGAATGTTGCTGGTGCATTGCAGAGTCCGAACGACATCACTAGGATCCGTCTCTTGTACGGAACGCCGTTTTGTGGGCCGAGTTGTCTGCCATCTTCATCTGCCAGTGAACCGATCGTAGGTCCAGCTTCGAAAACACCATTGCATCATGCAGTTGGTCAAGAATATCATCTATGTGCAGTATGGGGTATTTGTTCTAAACTGTCTGTTTGTTTAGTGCCCGGTAGTCGATGCACATCCATAAACCACCGTCCGGCTTTGGAGTGAAGAGAACTGGTATGCCGTAGGGAGTGGTGGATGGGCGGATCAGTTGACTGTCCAGTAGGTGTTCAATCTGTTTCTTCATATATGTCAGTTCGGTCGAACTAAGGTGGTATGGTGCACAGGAGATTGGTTTCATTCTTCCTCCACGATCTCGTGTTCATGGGTTCGGGCTGGAGGAAATTCTCTTGAACACCCCTGCTCACAACCCTCTCCACCCGTTCCCCCCCTGCTGCTGCAGACGACATCCATGACGTGTGGGTGTGGGTGTACTGGCTGTCGCCCCTCACCTACTTCCAGAACGCCTTCGCCATCAATGAGCTCCTCGCCCCCAGATGGCACGTGGTATGTGCTGTGCGCTGTCACAATGTTTGGGGTGGGTGGTGTGGTTTGGTGTGGTGTGGTGTGGTGTGGTGTGGTGTTGTGTTGTGATGCTATGAGGGTGTCGTGCAGTATAGTCATAGTGTAGTATGGTGTAATATGGTGTGCTACGTTGTCGTATCGTATGGCATGGAGAAAGGCACGTGGCGTGTCATGGTATTAGGGTATGTGTGCAATTAGGGCATGTGTGATGTGGTATCGTCTGTGTATGGTAATTTGACTCATGGTTCGTCCTAACGGCCGTTCCCCCCATGTGTCAATTTTCAAGACAACAAGACCCTCCTCGCCCCTTTTCCTTTGCCTTCGTCCTCTTATCTCCCTTCATTTTCGCTCCTTCCCCTCATCCCCGTTCTCCACCCTCGCCCTTCCCCCCTTCCTCCGTTTACTCCCAAATGCCTCCTCTTTGCTTCCGATCCCCTTCTCCCCCTCCTCCCTCCTCCTCCTTCCCTCTCCCCTCACCTCCCCCTTCTTCTCCCTCCTCTCCTCCTTCCTCACCCTCCTTCAGCTATCTACCCCTCCTTTTGTCCCTTCTCCCCCTTTTCCTCCTTCGCATCCCTCTTCCCCCTTCTCGTACCTCCTCCTCATCCCCCTGCTTCCCCCCCTCCCCTGCCCTCTGTCCCCTCCTCGCTCAACACAACAATGGGCCTTCAGGTGCTCATGGCTTGCAAGTTTTGGACGGACGAGCATTGGGTGTGGGTCAGTGGCCTTGTTGGTGCTGCCTTCACTGTCCTCTGCAACGTGCTCACAGTCCTCATGCTCAAATACCTCAACCATAAGCACCGTGATTCGTCCTCCACATGCCGCTCCTGTTCTCTCACTCACTCCTCTCCTTTTCCCTTACTCCATGACCCTTTTCTTGGCTCGTAGGATTTTGTTGTTCCATCTCCTTCATGCTTCTCTCTCTTTGCGTCACTCCCCCTCCCTTTTGACATCACTCCCTTTCCCCTGCATCCCCCCCTGCCTCCTCCTCCCCAGCCTGGTCCAAGGCACAGCCAGCAATCTCCCAGCATCAGATCGACGGCCGGGAAGCAGCTCTAACCGGTGGCCATTCGGACTATACGTCAGGCTCCAATGAAGGAGCGTCAGCTTCCGCTGTGTCGAGGAGTGCGCCAGGAAAGAAGTGGAAATTGTTTCGTATTCCTTCTTTTGGTAGTGGTTGCAGTGCTGCTGCTGCTACTGCTGTTGCTGGTGCGTCTGGCAGTAGATCTGTTGCTGATTCTGTTGAAAAGCAGCGGCAGAGGCAGGGGAGTGATCATCGGAATGTTGCGACTGCTAGGGGGGGGTTGCCAGCAGCAAGCAGCAAAGGAGGCGAAGAGAAAAAGCAGCAACAGAGAAAGCCTCTTACAAGGAACAGCTTGTACGTGTTACATGTACTTGCATCATCAACCAGGGTGCTAGACCGTACTCACGAGCACCAACGCAAACCGAAACACCATGATGATAGTGAGGCACCTATTGGGCTCTCCGGTGGGGAGGAATTCACCCAGCATGGAATGGTCCTCCCCTTTCACCCGCTCATCCTCTCCTTCCACAACGTCAACTACTTCGTTGACATGCCCTCCAAGCTCAAATACAAGTCCACGCCGCCCGGCCAGCGCCTGCAGCTGCTGCACAACGTGTCTGGCGTGTTTCGTCCCGGAGTGCTGACCGCCCTGATGGGGGTGTCCGGGGCAGGGAAGACCACGCTGATGGATGTGCTGGAAGGGAGGAAGACCGGGGGGTACATTGAAGGGGATATCCGCGTGTCTGGTAACCCGAAAGTGCAGGAGACGTTTCTGAGGGTGTCGGGGTATTGTGAGCAGGAGGATATTCACACGCCCCAGGTGACCGTTTACGAGTCTCTGCTCTACTCTGCCTGGCTGCGCCTACCCCAGGAGATCGCCCGCCACGTGGTCATGGTGAGCGAGAGGCATTGTGAGGATGGGATGCGGTATTGTTGATGATCCCCGCCTTCTCTTCCACTCGAATCATTCTCCCCCCATTCCCCACTCCCCACCCGGTTCCCCACTCCCCAGCCCCCTCTCCCATATCCCATCCATCTCCCCTCTCCCCACTCTTACTCCCGTTTCCCAGATCCCTACTCCACCTTCCCCCCTCCCCTCTCCTAGCTCCCTCCTCATTCCCATCTCCCCTCTTCCCCCTCCCCTCTCGGATCTCTTCTCTCCCATCTCCTCACCCATCGCTCTCGTCTATCCGCTCGCCCCTCTGTCCCCTCCATGGGCAGGAGTTCGTGGAGGAAGTGATGGGGCTGGTGGAGCTGGAAGCGGTGAGGGGGGCGCTCATGGGGACAGCGGGGCGGGACGGGCTGCCAGTGGAGCAGAGGAAGCGCCTCACCATGGCAGTCGAGCTTGTGGCCAACCCGTCAATCATCTTCCTGGATGAACCCACCTCAGGTACCACCTTCGCCCCCCAGGTAACACGGACCCTTCAACTATGTAATACACTAGTCCCTTGAGTGGGACCTGTTAGTCTAGAGTCCACTTAGGGGTCGCGGATGCCCATGAAACCGCCTAAGTAGAAACTGACGACTTCAAACCGCCTCTGTTCAAAATGCCGTCACGATCAGCTCCGATAATATTCGAGGCTGAAACTTAGACAGCCGTTAGCCGTAGGTGTTTGCTTTCTAACGGTATATTATTTGCATTTATCAGAGGTGTATGCGCTACGCAGTGAACAAAAACGTAAGCTCGGCTGAAAAACGTGTAGTTTCATTGATGCAAGGAAGAGATGTGTACAACATTGCCTAGGGGACTCACAAGGGGTTGGGGTCATCCTGGGAACTCAGAGAAGGTTGAGTCCTAGGGGAGAAAGGCTAGAGAAGGATGAGAAACGTCCTAGCTAGGTCAGCAAAGCCAACCACACTTGGATGTTCAGAGCTGTACTCAAGGCTACCACTAGTGAGTCAAGCCAACCATGAGTCAGCTTGTCTTCCCACTTGCACCCTCTTACAAGCTGCTTCCAAGAAAACCATACTTCTCAAAAGGAGGGTGGTAGAGTCCCACTTGACCACCTGTACTTCTTGTCTCATTCTCTGTCCCTGCACCATTGGCATGACAACAATGAAAGGGTGGCAAGGGAAATGCTGCCAATAGTGCACCATGACTTCGGAACAGTGACTTTCGACAGCTGTCACGCAATGCTCCGATGTTGGATCGTTTTGAAACTTAGTGACCATCTGCAAAACAGGGCAAAGGACTGGCAGACCGAATTTCAGACCAATCAGAGCTCGGAAGACGAGTCAGCAGCCGAAATGGTGAACTCGGGTGTTACAAAAAAAAAGAGTAACACACACTTCCGGGATGCCATAAGTCTCAAAACAAAAAATGCTGTCATGCCTTGTTAACTGCTTCAAAAAGAAAAATTTGAAACTTTGAGGGTTTGATGAAGACACGTTGAAGCACATCCCCACAAAATTCCAGAAGCTGAGCAGGCTTGTAGGCCGAATGGGAGTGCGATGACCGTGCCACTGGTGTGTTGGCACAACAAGACCTACCCCTACGGTGAACACTTACCACTCGGATAACACCTACCCCTGCAGGAAACACATTCCCTCAAGTAACAGCTACCTCTTCAAGTCACACCTACCCCCAGCCCCAGGAGACACCTATCTATCAAATAGCATCTACCCCTTGGGTAACCACCACCGTGTTGGTAAACACCTATCCTTCAGGTAACACTCATCTCTCGGCTAAATACCTAAGCCTTAGCAGACACCTTTTCCCCTAAAATCCAGCTAACAACAACACTGGTCATAGAAATATCGAAGGTCATATGACTCGCTCCCTTCCCGCCCGCAGTTTCTCTCGCTCATCTTTTTTCTCATTTCTCCCTGTGTAGGATCAAAACATTTCAAAAGCCGCTTGCTTTCCCCCTCTCTTTCTTGCAGGGGCAATACGCATCAGCCTGCACTGGTCGCACCTCGTTCCCCCCTCTTTCATGTTCTCTCTTTACGTCCTGTTCCATCCTCTTGCAGGCCTGGATGCGAGGGCAGCGGCGATAGTGATGAGGGCGGTGCGCAACACAGTGAACACGGGGCGCGCAGTCGTGTGCACCATCCACCAGCCGTCCATCCACATCTTTGAGGCCTTTGACGAGGTGGGAATCACGATGGTGTGCCCTGTAGTTGCTGTAATACACTACACTGAAAAGGAGCATGGTTTGAAATACAGGTCAGCATGGGGTTGTGTGTGCTTGTGTGTATGCACCATACACCACCATCCATTGACATATTCCAAGCGGTTTTTGCTTAAAATGGATACCATGCGACAAGTGTTCACAGCAACAAAGGTACACCGCAATGAACACAACAACAAGTCAAGCATTGTAATGCAATGTCGGCAATACTGACGCACAATGAGCTGCACATTTAACCCCTCACCTCTCATACTCCTCCCTCTCCGTTCATCTCATGGTCTCGCGGTTGATCCCTGTAGTTACTGCTGATGCAGCGAGGAGGGGAGGTCGTCTACACAGGTACTTTGGGGTGTCAGAATTATATTGTTATAACTGCATGTAGTTCTAGCTGTAGTGTAGTTATCCTAATCATCCTGTTTGGTGGTGCACCTTTTTGTCATGCTTCTTGCCTATTTGTACATTTGATTCTATAGTGAAACTCCTCTTTTGGCAAAATCTCTCGACATGTTCATCTCTAAGTCTCCTCCTACCCCAAACCCTAGTTTTAGCTTAATCTACTATTTTGATATGCTATCAGAGCTGTAAGCTCCTGGACCTACGTCTAAATGGGCCCACCCTTTTGTAGCAATGGCGCCCCTGCTAGCGCACAAGCGCAAATACCGCAGAAGCTTCATGCTCGTCTCTGCCAGCTCATGGAATGGCAGCTCCTACGCTCGTCGCTCGCCCTGTCGCCCTGCCACTGCAGTCGCCGCGGCGCCCCGCGTCCCGTCGCCGCGGCGCCCCACGATCTGTCGCCGCGGCGCCTCGCATCGGCGCCCCGCGTCCCGTCGCCTTGGCGCCCGCTTCCAACGCGGACGCCTGCTCCCGACGTCATCGCGGACGCCACCGCCATACGCAAGCGCCGACGCCAGCGCCAGGCACCAACGCCGACGCCAGCGCCCAGCGCCAGCGCTGACGCCAGCGCGGACGCCAACGCTCGAAGTGGACGCCGGTGCCAGGCGCCAGCGCGGACGGCAGAAGCCAGCGCCAGCGGCAGGTTGCGGGGGGAGGGTGAGGGAAAAGGGGGAGAGTGTGAGGGAGTGACGAGAGAGATTCTGCCGAGCCAGCAGCCGCCCCTCCTCCTCTCTCTCTCACTGCCGCGCGTGCTGCCGTGGGGGGGAGGGTGAGACGGTGGCGGAATTCAGCCGGGCATCTGCTGCTGCCGCCAGCTGCTACTGTGGCACCTCCAGCTGTCGCCCCTGTCGCCACCTGCCCTGTATTTTGCTACCTACTGCTGGGGCCTGCAGGTGCTGCCGACGAGCCGCTGCTGTCCTGCTGCACGTTGCTGCCACAGAGCCTGCTCCTCAGGCGACCTGCCGCCCCTACACTTGCTTCTGCTGCTTCTATCATGGCTGAGCGGTTGGTGCAGCTGAATCTGCTACCACTGCACTGGTTGCAACTGCTCTTGCTTGCTGTTGCTGTTTTCTCTGTCTATGATGTACCCCTGCAGGTTGTGTCTTGCACTTGGCTATTCCTGCATGCAGTTATGGGGGGATGTCAGAATTATATTGTTATAACTGCATGTAGTTCTAGCTGTAGTGTAGTTATCCTAATCATCCTGTTTGGTGGTGCACCTTCTTGTCATGCTTCTTGCCTATTTGTACATTTGATTCTATAGTGAAACTCCTCTTTTGGCAAAATCTCTCGACATGTTCATCTCTAAGTCTCCTCCTACCCCAAACCCTAGTCTTAGCTTAATCTACTATTTTGATATGGGGCAACAATCGCGCAACCTCGTTCGCTACTTTGAGGTAAGGCACAGCACATAAATTGTAGTTTGAATGATTGTTCAGTCTCGGGCCATCCTGTCTTATGGCTTGACTTCCAATTTCGTTTTGCACAATACTAAATCTAGCTTTCATTCAAGTTCTTTGTGTCTTCCTGAATTCTTTTCACAAAACCTCATAATTATTTTTAGCACTCGGTTTCCATAATGTATTCTCCACCTAGACCATCCTGAGGCCAACCTTATAACACGGAAGGTTGGCATAACTTGCTTTCCGTTTCCCCCCCAAACTCTCGACCCCTCCACCTCCCCTCTTCCAGTCCATCCCAGGAGTGCCGCCCATCCAGCCGGGGGCCAACCCTGCAGCGTGGATGCTCGAGGTCACGACGCCAGCAGCAGCAGGGATGCTTGGGGTTGACTTCTCTCAACTGTTCCGACAATCAGAACAGTTCAGGTGAGGTCAGCAATGGCTTAAGTGGGGTAATGAGGCACGAGGGAGGACAACAGAGGTTGAAGTGTGAGTGTATAAGGGTCAAATGCTCTGTTTCGCCATTCTAGCCAATCTAGTGAGAACAACTGAGGCTCACTCTAACGAGACTTGTTCGTCTTGATCCTGACAGCAATCAAGCCTTTGCTCAACAACAGCAGTGCGGCATACGTCTCTCTCCCCCTCTATCGCTTTCACGCGTCGCTCCCATAAGTCTTCTCCAGTCTCCATCACCCCCCTCATCCACAGGACCATGAACTCACTGAACCAGCAATCCAGTGTGCCTCTTAATGGGGAAGCAGACCTCTTCTTCCCAACGCAGCACCCCACAATGCAGCTCTCCCAGTTCGCGACGCACCTGTGGAAGCGCCACCTCATGTACTGGCGGATGCCCGACTACAACGGCGCATGCCTCTTCTTCTCCTTCGTCATGAGCCTCTTCATTGGGGCCGTCTTCTTTGGCTTTGGAAAAGCACGGGAGATACCGCCGGATATTGTGAATGTCATGGGGGCTCTCTACACCGCAGCGCTCTTCCTCGGGTGGAGCAATCTCGCATCCATCCAGCCGATGCTCGCCATGGAAAGGACTATCTTTTAGAGGGAGCGGGGTGCGGGGATGTACAGTTCCATCCCGTATGCGCTTGCACAAGGGATGATTGAGCTACCTTACCTCGTGTTACAAGAAGTGGTGTACTCGCTATTGACATACTCCATGATTCAGTTTGAGTGGACGCTCAGCAAATTCATGCTGTACCTGCGGTTCCAGTTCCTCACTCTGCTCTACTTCACGTGTTTCGGCATAATGGCGAGTGCCATAAGTGCAGCAGAAGGGCTTGCGGTGCTGTTGTCTGCCTTCATTTACTCCCTCTGGAACCTTCTCTGCGGCTTCCTCCTGCCACAGCCGGTCAGTGCAGTGCTCATTGGTCTTTGTTCTTGACTCAAGAATATTCAATGACAGTGGGGTGAGATTACCTTGGCCTACGTAGGAAAGGGCGCACATGGGATTGCATGCATAATTTCGCATCTCATTCAAGCACAAGTGGGCGTGACACTATCGCTTTGAGTGTTTGCATTAGAACAACCCCTATAACATGCCCCTCCTTCTGCAAACCTCTCCCTCCTTGTCTCGTGCTCCTCCCCTGATGTGTTCAACAGGAGATTCCTGTTTACTGGACATGGTTTTATTGGATCAATCCTATGGCTTGGTCCCTGTACGGCCTCTCTGCTTCCCACGTAAGCCGTTTGATAGGTTTCACTACCTGCCTCGCAGGTATGTTTGCTTCCAATGCTTCTTTCTAGGTAACCCCACTGTTTCTTGTTTTGCCCTTCTCGCTAGATGCTGGTAAGGCTATTTTATCTCTCCCACAAGCCTCAAGCTCTGTGTGAGGGTAAGTTCCATACTATGATTCAATGCGGTAAATTCAGTACAGAAAGAAATGCCCACGGATTGCACAATTTGGTGTAGAAACATGCTTACAATAAAGAAGCTTCCCTCCCCGGCACCCCCATTCTCCTCCCATTACTGTACCTTGTTCCATCCTTGACTCGTCTTCGATAAATCTTCTTGTCACTTCTGGTTGCATTACAGTTGGGAGATGTAACAACGCTGGTGGTGAGTCCACCAGGCATGCCAGCTCAGACGGTATCACAGTTCATCCAGCTCTACTACCGCTTCTTCCATGACTGGCTAGGGTACGCCACTGCTATCCTGCTCGGCTTTTCCGCCCTTTTCTTCTGCGTGTTCATATACGCCCTTCGCAACCTCAACTTCCAGCGGCGATAGGATTGGAAGAGATGTGCTGGTATGAATGGAGGAGATAACTGTTGGAAACTCGAGACTCAGTGGTTGCTTTGTTTTGTTGTCCATGATCACTTCCACACTCTGCAACCTTGCTTTTAGTTATGCGTGTTCGCTCATGCGTTTTCAATTCCAAACAAGGCGCACCCTCAAGGGAATGTATCTGAAGCCTCACCGTACATGAGTCGCTTAGGATATATATATATATATATGTGTGTGTATGTGTGTGTGTGTGTGTGTTGTGTGCATTCTTTTTTTCATATCTTGTACTAATAATGCATCATGCCTCTTGTGCAAATTGCTATCACTCCTTTGAAAGGCATTTGATGTCACAACCTAAACTGTTTTTTTATCTAAGTTAGGATAGCGGAATGATGAGTGAACTAGGTAGGAGTTACAAGTGGGAACCCTCATGGGCTATACCCTCTAGAATGTACCTCACAGTAGCCTAACACAATTTGAAACATTGTTTGACACCCCCCCATAGGCTAAGAGAATCAAATGGCCTCAAGACTAGTCAAGAGAAACAACAACGCAAAGCTCGGGGTTGATCACCAGGGCTCTCCCTAAGGTTTGAGGGAGGGATGTCTGATGCATCAGACAAGCTCCGAGCGGAAAAAAATGGTTCTGTCTGATGCTGACTAGAAAATCATATTAATCCAAAAAACACATGTCTGATAATCTACCAAACAGAAAAAACAATCAGGAGGAGAGAAGAGAGGAGGAGTCACGGCCGCAGCAGGAGAAGGTAGAGCAGAGAGTACTTCATGTCGATGTGCTTCACTCTGCCCTCCAATCGAGGCTTGCGACACAGGAGGATCATAGCCTTGTTGTCAGCGGACAAGTTCGGTGCAGAACGAGGCTAGTCACCAAGGTCGGTGGACAAGAATGTCAACCAGTGAAGCTTCTGCGCAGCCATGGCACCGGGGTAAATTTCGGCCCCAGCGCCAGACCGCGCCATAGACGACGACCGAGTATACCTCCACGACACAACTCCAGAGTCCAACCTGAAGTAGTACCCCCAAGTAGACCTCGAGGTCTCCACGTCATCGGCGTAGGAAGAGTCGCAGTGTCCAGTTAGCACAACTGGCTGTGCCTTTCCAAGTACAAGCCCCATGCGTAATGTACCAGGTACTTTGCTACCCTCACAGTTTCGCCGAATAAACATGATGGTGTCTCCCAGTCGCAACAAAGCGAGCCAGGCTGCTGAGAGGAAAAGCGAGGTCTACAAGCAATGTGTAGAGACCACTAGGCTTCGTCAGGATTAGGAAATATGAGTCTGTGGAGGAGTGGGCTGGGTGTGGTGGAGAACTAAGACCCGAACAGCTGAAGGACCTGCTGCACCATGTGTTACCGAGTCACTTTGATGGTGCAAGCGGCTCTGTCCCTAGTTATCTACAAGCCGAGGTAGTGGCTCAGTTCACAAAGGAGCGCACATGCGTTTCTTTTGCACTTCAAACTTCACGAAAGTCACATCAACCCTGTCTGCTGCAGCGAAGACCAAGTTATTGACATAGATGAGGACGGAGAAAGGTGTGGGCCCAGAACAAGCGAATAGCGACAGGTAGACAGTAGAAGGTCTGAAACCAAGAACAGCAAGTGTGGAGAGAAGAGTGTCGTGCCACTCACAGGGCACCTGGCAGAGTCCGTAGACTGCTCATCTCAGGCTCCACTAGGTCCTAGGAGGGGAAGTGTCAATGAAGCAAGGAGGACGGCTCAGCCATATCTCCTCGTGCAGGCAGCCCTGGAGAAAAGCAATGGAGAAGTCCAGTGTGGGCTGTTCGTATTCTTGATGAGTTGCAACTTGAAGTAACACCCGAAGATTGGCCATCTTCATGGTCGGGGCGAAGCTATGGAACAAGTCAACCCCCTCAGGCCGACTAAAGCCTCTTGCCACATAATGCACCTTGAAGACAGACGGTGATCCAGCCAGCCGCTTTACCTTGAAGATCCACATGTTATTTACTACGTTCACCCCAAAAGGGGGAACGGCGTTCGCGTAAGTGTCTTTGGATTTCCAAGACGCCATCACTGAGTCAATGGCCGCTATACATTTATAGGCCCACTGCCCTAACACTCACTCACGGTACATGCGAGGAGTCGGTATGTCAAGGGCGTTGGGATCTCCCTCAAGGGCTAGCAGCATGGCACAGAGATGGGGAGAAGTGGGTGCAAAAAACACCAGCTCTAATCGCCTGTCTTCTAGGACGTCATAGCCAAGGGCAAGCTCACCCCCGGCAAACAGAGGACGGGCAGCTACCACGCGGGTAGCGTAGTCAAGGCGGCGGGTGGTGGCAAATTCAGCAACAGCAGCAACAAGATCTGAAACAGATGACGGGAGGGCGGTAGGGTCCGTGACAAGAGAGGCAAGAACACGTGAGACAAATGGACGAGCCGTGAGGTAATAGTTAGTGATAGGGTGAGAGGAGGCTGTAAGGGACAAGGAGGTGAACAGACAAAAGCGGAGAGAGCGGAGGTCATCAAACGGAGATGAGGGACGAGCACGAGGAGGACAATGAGTGGCCCAAGTGTGCGGGACAATAAGAGGAGGCGATTGTGACTTAGGAGGAAAGAAGACAGCCGAGAACGAGTCCGGAGGAGGAAGACCGTGTGCAGTAGGAGGCAGTGAGTGGTCTGGAGGGGAGGAAGGGAGGAAGGGCCCAGAGGCAACTTACAGGTGGGAACAACTTGTGAGAGTACGACGGCTTATGTTGGCTTTGCTAGCTTGCCTGGACTTTATTATGCTATTAATAGCTTAGGTTTTATTTATCATGCATAGATATGATTGATTTCCTAGCTTAGGTGCCTTCCCTATATTTTATTATAGTTATAGCACATAACCAGGCTACGTGTACTGAACTCAAGCCTTTCGGTTGCCACCGAATTGCTTTCTACCGAGTTTGGGAAGGATTTGTTCAGGATGCTTCGCGACCCTCATAACATTCGCGTAACACATGGGTTACCAGCCTTGTGTCGAGACTATATATAGCCCCGTGTTGTACCCAGGTGACTCAATCAATTCAAACTCTCTTTTCTGAGCTCTGTCCTCACACTTGGTAATCATAGCTATTTACATGCGAAGATTCTTAAAAAAACCGCGGGGGCAACGTCTGTTAAACACCGATTTTGGGTACGTCAAACCGGTTCCATGTTTTTCACTCCCCCTCGTTTTCGGTTTTCGGACACGCGATGCAGGGATGGACGAGTGAAGAAAGAGGAATGAGAATGACTAGGAAACAAGTGGGTACAAGTAGGAAACCTAGAAGTGTTGTACCCTATAGTGTCTACCCCACTACAGCCTAGATAGACTATATCATATAAGTTTGACACACCCCCATAGACAAAGTGGGGGAGAAAAAGGGGTCACAAGACCACTCAAGCAAAGCAAAGCAAACCAAGCTCAGGGTGGATCACAACGTCACCACACATTGCGAGCACAGGTTCAAAGGCCACAAGGCCAGTTCACATGCAGGATAATATATAAAGGTAAACATGCAGGTGCAGGTATATATAGATCACAGTACAAGCAAAGTCAATAGGTAAGCAAGTGAGGCCAAGTAGGCACAAGACCTAACATAATACAGAAGCACTGATGATCACAAGGCTGAAATGCCTTGGTGAAGATATCAGCAGTGTTGGCCCGAGAGGCCACGTAAGCAAGACGCAGCTGACCACGCTGCTGCAGCTCACGAGCAAGGAAGTAGCGAAGAGCAATGTGCTTCGTTCTGTGCTCCAGTCTGTGCTCCCGGCACAAGGCCAGCATGGTCTTGTTGTCTACGTACAGAACGGGAGGAGAACGAGGCGGTTCTCCCATGTCAGACAGCAAGTAGGTGAGCCAGCGTAACTCCTGTGCAGCCATGGCCCCTGCGTAGATCTCAGCCTCATAGCTGGAGCTGAGAACAGAAGACGAGCGTGTAGACCGCCACGAAACAGAGCCGGAACCAAGGCTGAAGGTGTAACCCTGTGACGACCGCTGCATAGCCAGGTCGTCAACCCAAGACGCGTCTGCGTGACCAGTGAGGACCACTAAACTCCGCTCTCCAAGCACGAGCCCCAAGCCCGACGTACTGCACAAGTAGCGCAACACCCTCTTCGCTGCAGCCATGTGCTCCGGTCGGTGTCTCCCAGGAGCAACATAG